TCCAAAGTAGTTGAACAAGTTTAGACTCCCATCAACAATGAAGTAGGGTTTCCTTCTGTCCACATCCAGCATCTGTTGTTATTAGAGTTCTTGATTATAGCCATTCTAACTGGGGTGAGGTGGTATCTCAATGTTGTTTTGATTTGCATTTCTTTTATGGCCAGAGAAGTGGAGCAATTCTTCATGTGTCTATTGGCCATCCTTCTTTCCTCTTCAGAGAAGTTTCTCTTTTCTCTTTAAGTCCTTAGCCCACTTATTTATTGGGCAGTTGTTTCTTTGAGGATTTGTTGTTGGGGGATTTAATTTTTTGGGTTCCAGGTATGTTTTAGATATAAGACCCTTGTTCATTGTATGGCTAGTGAAGATCTTCTCCCAATTCGTGGGCTTTCTATTGATCTTGCTAGCTATGTCCTTTGCCTTGCAGAATCTCTGCAATTTCATGCAATACCATTTGTTAAACTTTCTTTGATTTGTTGTGTTTCTGGGTCTCTATTAAGAAAATTTTGGCCTGTGCCAAGGAGACCTAGGGTTTCTCCTACTCTGTCCTGTAATGTTTTCAGGGTGTTTGCTTTGACTCTGAGGTTTTTGATCCATTTGGAGTTGATTCTGGTGCAGGTTGATATGTAAGGATCTAACTTTAATTTTCTACAATTGATTAACCAGTTTTGTCAACACCATTTACTGAAGAGGCTGTCTTTCTTCCACTGTATTTTTTAGCTCAGCTCCCTTATCGAAGAATAGTTGGCTATAGGTCTGTGGGTTCATTGCTAGGTTTTCAATTCTATTCCATTGGTCCTGAGGTCTGTTCTTGTGCCAGTACCAAGCTGTTTTGATTACTATGACTTTGTAGTAGAGTTTGAAATTTGGTATTGATATTCCTCCAGCACTGTTCTTTCTGTTAAGGATCGTTTTTGCTATTCGGGGTCTAGTCAAAAGTATTTTTAAAACACACTAAAAGTATAAAGAAAAAAGCTGTAAAGTAAAGGAAACTTGCACAAGCCCCCCCGGTCTGCTCTTTTTAATGAAGTTAGTACAATTAACTAAGGCAGGATGAATAAGAGTTTGAGACTAGCCTGGGCTACATAATGAGACTATGTAAAAAAAAAGAAGAGAGAGATCTTGGAGACCACTGAAACTTTCAATATGAACTGGACATTAGATGATATTAGGGAAATATTTTAGGTGTGGTAATGGTGTTCTGATTACATGGGGGATGCTTGCTGATTTATTTGGGAATAAAATTTTATATTTCCAATTAAGCAAACAATCTATCTCTTTTCCTTTCCATATAGGTAGACATAGATGAGATAGTATTTTTTCTTAGGCTGGGGACTGAACCTAGGATGCCACACATACAAGTACTTTGCCACTGAGCTCTACCTCCTAGGTAGGTATAGATAAGTCAAGGATAGCAAAACATTGACAATAGATTCTTGGTGGTAATGTGGTCATTAAATCATTTTAAATTTCGTTTCTATTACTGTATATTTTTTGTACAAAATAGTGGGCTTCATTATACCAGATCATATATGTATGTGATAGACTTTGATCATATTCACCTCCTCCATTAATATGTTTTGTTCCCTCTCTCCTTTCCACTGTGATATGGAATGTTCTCTTTTGCTTATGGAGGGCAGAACCCACACAGCCCTTTTGGCCATGGGTAGAACCCACCAAACCTTTCTGGCTTTGGAACAGACAAAAACCACTAGGGTTGCAGCCCCATGGCAGGCAATGCCTGCCACTGTTGCATGTCATGAACCTTGTCTGCCAGTGTTACAGCTATGTAGCCTTCTCTGTTCTTGTCTCAGGAATTTAGGGAATGATTTCCAGGGCAACTGTGGGTGAGTGTAAAGAACTTTTATCATGTTGCTTTGTGTGTCCCTCCCCACAGTATAACCCCTGCTTTCACTGTATTTGATGTCGGTATAACTTGTGGAGGGGAAGGAGAAAAACAAATCATTTAAATAGGGATACAGGTGGACCCATTGCAACAATGAGAAGTACAAGTTGTTAAGTCGAAAACGAACTTTACAACTTTGGTGCGGTGGGAGGGGGGGGGAGGATTGGGTTGGGGGGTGGTGGGAGGATGGGAAGGGATGGGAAGGGTAAACAAAGGAGGAGGCAACAATGCTTGATAAGAAATGTACTCATTATCTTGCCCATGTAATTGTAACCCCTCTGTACAGTATTTTCACAATAAAATAAAAAAAGAACTTTTATCAGAGGAGAAGTATCTTGCTCAAAGGACACAGACACTCACGCATGCACATGTGCACTGGCCTTGGGGCTTCAACTCAGGGCCTGGGCACTGTACCTGAGCTTTTTTTTTTTTTTTTGCTTGTCTAGCTAGCATTCTACTATTTGAGCCACACTTCAACTTCTGCTTGTTTGATTAATTGGAGATAAGAGCCTCAAGGACTTTCTTCCCCAGGCTGGCTTCAAACCACAAACCTTCACATCTCAGTCTCCTGAGTAGCTAGAATTAAGGGCATGAATCACTGGTGACCAGCTGTGTTTCCATTCTTATATCTATGTTTCTGTCTAGGTGTCTGAGTCTAAGGGTTCTTATACCCTGGGCTGTGCTCTGATTGGTTGCCCCTATTACAATTAGATGTTTTGGAAGATTATTGGTTAGATCCCACAGTATTCTGATTGGTTGGTAATTCCTGATAAGGTCCCTTTTACAAATCCTTTCCCCTAGGGAAGGGCTAGGAAGGGGCACAAGCAAGGTATTTTAAAACAGTGTCTCCCTTGTATTTAGTTTCTGCTTGGTAGGCCAAGATGCTATCCAAGAGACTTTGGTCTTAACTAATTTATCCTTTCAACTGGCCTTCTTCCTTTTTTGCTATTGTCCATCTTCTACTTTCATGTCCACTTAAATATTGTTTAAAGTTTTCTTTGTGTCTGGATATTTAAAGAATTAGAAACCATGAATAAGTAAGCATAGGTAAGTTAAAATAATTCAGATGCATACCCCTTTGTTGTCAGTCCTACCTTAAAAGCACTAGTGTTTTTCTGTAGACTTTTATGACTATTTTTCAGGATATATTGTAAGGTGTGCAGTAGATATGTCAGAGAAATACATTAAAATTTTTGTCACTTATATCCAAATTGCTCTCTGGGCAGCCAACCAGACCTGAGAAATTCACCTCTTTCCTCACACACACATACCAGCAGTCTGGTAATCTTTTTCCTTTTGTGCTGGTACTTGAGCTGGAACTCAGGGCTTTGCATTCTTCCTATTTTTCCCCTTAAGACTGATACTCTACCACTTGGGCCAGGCTATCACTTCCAGCCTTTTCTGGTTAATTGGAAATAATAGTCTCTTCTGTTTGTCTACCTGGGCTGACTTTAAACCTTGATCCTCAGATTTCAGCCTCTTGAATACCTAGGATTATAGGTGTGAACCAACATCGCTAAGCCTGGGAGAGTGTTTTTAACATTTTTCAAAATGATAGTCTTGTAGGCAATAATATCTATAACACTCCAGGTATTTTGATTTACATTTATTTGATTGCTATGTTAATATTCCTTTATGTGTGGGAATGAACTTGTTCAAAGCTTTTCATGCATTTTGCCAACAATGATATTTTAATTTACTTTATTATCATAGAAGTGATACACAGAGGGATTACATTTACATGTGTCAGGTAATAAGTATGTTTCCTTTTATATGGTGTCATCTATTCCCTCATTCTCTCCCATTCCCTCCCTCCCATCTCCACCCACGAGTTGTATAGTTGACTTACATCCATGTCCAGTGTACTCCACTGCTGTACTTTTTCACCCTTTTTCTTCTGATTCTGTGCCCTACCCACACCCTTCCACAAATATGTATGTGAATGCGCCATATATAAGCTAAAGAATGCAGAGTCATAAGCAAAACAAAAAACAAATTAAGAAAAATGTCCTTTGTTTCCATATCTTTAGAATTCATTTTAGTATATTATTATTATTATTATTAGCTGTTCTTGGGGCATGAACCCAGGGCCTGAGCTCTGTCCCTGATCCTCTGTATGCTCAAAGCTAGCACACTTGAGCCACAGTACCACTTCCGGCTTTTTCTGTTTTTGTGGAACTGAGGAATCAAACCTGGGGCTTCATGCAAGCTAGGCAAGCTCTACCACTGAGCCGCATTCCCAGCCTGGATGTTATTTTATATACATATGAAGAGGCATTTGGATATTGCTCCTAAGACTATCCTCTTTGGGTCTCACTGTATGCCAACACTGATTTTTGAGAAGAGTTTTCCCATATATAGTTAATCTTGTTAGAGTGGGGTAGATACTAGCTAAATCATGTCTCAACAATATTGATAGCACTGATTACAATTTTAAAATATTAGCCTATTTGACAGGCAAAATGTTATTCAGGTATGTTAATGTATAATTACTAATGAATTTTGCAATTAAAAAGCTGTTTTGATTGTTTAGTGTTTCTGTTTAAGTGATTATAGCCTTAATGTTTTTTCATATATGCACACACATACATTCGTAACATATACATACCTAGCTCCTACATATATATATATATATATATATATATATATATATACACATATGTATATGTGTACAGAGAGAGGGGGGCTTAAAGCATTCAATAATACATCTGTTCTCAAATGTGAAATAGGCTATGACAGGTTATAGAAAGTTTTTAAATAGAGGTAGAGATATAAGAGCAGATGAATGTGTGGTTTCAAGTAAGTGGTATGCCAAAAACATTTCTAAGTCCCTTTTAATCCAGAGGTCTTATGATTTAAGAAAATTGAACTCTAACCAAGTTTAAATTCCCCCAGGTGAAATAGCAAGTAGTGGTAAAAGCAGAAATCAAAGTCTAATATCTTAATTCCTAGACCAAGTATCTTTTCAATATTCAGTATCCCATGTTGCTGCTGTTCCTGCTGTTCCAAAAATTTGCAATCTTTATCATATGTCTTTGGATCTGATAATCCTCATGATAGCCAGTATGAATAATGAATCTCATGCTTTTCCCTGCAGGCTCATCCCCCTCAGGCTTGGTGGCCAAGCCCTTTGAGAGAGTAACATATAACTGGACAGTCCCCCCTCATGCTGGTCCCACTGCTCAGGATCCTGCCTGTCTCACCTGGATGTACTTCTCAGCTGTGGATCCTATAAGAGATACAAATTCTGGCCTCGTGGGCCCCCTGCTGGTGTGCAAGGCTGGCGCCTTGGGTGCAGATGGCAAGCAGGTGTTGTAGGGGTCTAGCTGGGAAGGGCATGCAGCTGGGTTCCTGGATATGAATTAAAATGGATCTGGATTCTAGAGGAAAGGGAATAGAAATACAATCCAAGAAAGCCATTTTGTCAGAAATTAGTAATTGGTGACTTCCTGCTCTTTGGGCCTGTTATTTTTAAAATTCATAAACACATCTTCCTTAGCCTGGTATCCTTCCTATTTCTTATCTTCCTGCAGTCATCTACCTCACCACACTCCTTTCTTTCCCTTTGCTTTCCTGCCTCACCACTTCAGTGACTCTTAAAAGCTGCCCCTAATCCCTAAATCTACTTTGCTGTTTGTTTCACTCCTTAAAAAATTATAAACAGAATAGGTTTATTTAGAAGCAAAGAAAGAAAGCTGAGTTAGAAGTGCAGACTCTCCTGAGAGCTGTTTCTTTCCATTTGTATCCACTATTTCTAATTCTGTAACTATATTCCAGTTACTAAATCTTTACCACACTTTCTCATCTGTAAAAATAAAGGGTTAATAAAGGAAGAAGGTACCTTGTGTTTCTGTGAGATTAATGAGAATTATCCATATAAAATGCTTTGCACAGCATCTGGCAAATAGTAAGCACTAGGTAACTGCTAGTTGTGATAACAGTAGCTGTTATTATTTTTTTCTAATTATATTTGAGTTTCTCCCCTAAGCCATCCGTGGATTTCCCAGTCATCTTTTCCTAGTCCTCTCCCAGTGCCTGCAGGTTTTTCTCTTGCCACATTCTGTTCATCTTTCCCATTCCCTTTCTGACATTCCTCTCCTTATTCTTGTTCTTTCACTCTGACTTCCTTTTTCCATCTGCAATTTGAATCTCCTTGGGGGGAAACCTGCCCAGCAACAACTGCAGCTCTGGCAGGAGATGTAGGCTTAGCTTTGAGTCTGGAAAAGGAAACAGGAAAGGATCCAGCATCTGGATCTGCAACTACACAGTGCACCACTGCTGAACCCACTGTCATTCCTCCCTCTGCTTTCTTCCACGGGACCTGCAGAAAGGGGTGGATAGAGAATTCTTTCTTCTATTCACTGTGATGGATGAGAATGAGAGCTGGTACAACATTATCAATCAAGAGGCTGCTATGTTGGATTCCTCATTGCTCTCATCAGATGTCAAAGGCTTCCAGGACTCCAATCGGATGCATGGTATGGGGAATACTTTTGTCCTGGGTATAGCTAAATGTTCATAAGGAAAATCTAACCCTGACAACAATTATAAGTGATCCCTGAAACACTTATGCCATTGATCAGCTTTGTCTCAGATACAGTCTAGACTGAGGGATTCAAACTAAAAGAATAGATATTCTTAGATTTAGTGTATTCCTATGCTGTACCCTGTGTTCCATAGTATGGTGAGCACTACAAGAAAATACTCTGAAATGAGAGCTGTGTGCAAGGAATCTTCTAGACAATGTTGAGAGTAAGCTGAGTTAATACCCTTCAAGTATTTTTTTCATTTTGTTGTTTCTGGCAGAGAACCAAATATCTTGCACCTGCTAGCCATGTACTCTACCACTGAACATGCCCAGCCCCCCTTTTAGATTGTTTTCCCTCTCTTCTTTGGCATAGAACCAAATGCCTTACACCTACTAGGCATGTACTCTACCACTGAGCCACACTCCTAGCCCCCCTTTTAGATTGTTTTCCTTCTCCTCTTGCTCCCTTATCCCGTACTTCAACTAAGTATGGAATACTTTTTGTTCCCAAATGCACACTTTGTACTAAGCTGATTTCATACTTTGGTAAGTGCTGCGCCCACCACTTGAAAAGTCTCTTGTTACAGATTTGGCTTCAGCCTGTGCAAATTTGTCCATTCTCTGAGACTGAACTCAAAAATTACCTTATCTATGTTACCATTTCTTGTCAGTCAAGTCTTGAGTGAAGCCCCCCTCTTCTGAACCCCATGGCACTTTAAGCAGGTCTTTTTAATAGCAAGTTCCAAACAGTGCTTCATATTATAATCATGTGTGGCATGGCTTTTGACTTCTACTAGAGTATATTTTTCTAAAGTGAGTATTATGTGTTGCCTATCTCTATATCCTCTACACTGTTTAATACATCATAGATATTCCTTGAGGTACTAAACAACTAAATGAGTGGGTGGGTGGGTGGGAGAATGAATGGGAGGGCATTCATTCTTGGATGGGTGAACTTCAGTGGGAGCACCAGCACTTTGCAGTGAAATGCAAGTAATAACACCCATGGAACAAATGTAGAACAATCTAAGACATACTATAATTAAGTGCTAAATTGTGTAGAACAGCTTTTAAGTTCAGAGGAGGAGAACATTAATGAGGAACAATCAAATTAAAAGATTTGTAGAAGAAGGGAGCACTTGAGCTGGGGCTCAAAGACTGAATAGTTTTGCTATTAGAACATTCTAGGCAGGGGAAGCATAATTGAGTTTAGTGACATTCTTATCAACATCCTCAGGGATTATTAAATAGGCTGACTCCTGCGGAGTGGAGACCTTGAAAAGCTTGTGCTTCAAGCAGCCCTCCCTGTATTTTGTTGGGGATTATGGTTACAAGGTGGGAGGGGGACAAGAACATGTGTGCTGTCTTCTGGCTGCATCTCTTAGTTCACATCTCATGTAGTTCCATCATTGGATAAATAAGACAGTCTTCTGAACCAAGTTAATTCCCATTTATTGACCACTGAATTGGTACCGAGAACCATTCCAACTACTCAGGCAGTCAGACCATGAGAAATTATCTTCTTCCTGTTAGGACAATCTAGTGCATAGGATTTGCTGTAAATAACTGGTTTTGGGGGGTAAGTGATAGTGCAGAAATTTCCAGGCTAAATGGTTCGTGAAAATTCAAGGTCAGGGAGGGACTTCGTGTCACAGAGATGTTTGAGCTGGTTCATGATATCTGAATATCAAATTGCCATAGAGACCAGAGGTGAAGTTTTTTCCAGGTAGAGGGAACATCTGAAAAGTCAACAGGTGTTTTCTAAGCACTTTCAGTGTTTAACATCTGGAGGTAGAGGCAAATATCAGTGATGGGCTGTTTGTGAGAGAGGGTGGAAGCATAAACTTCAGGAGGGAGTACCAAGGACAAGACTTTCACAAGAGTTCAGGCCAGAGAAGATTAGGGCCAAAGCTTTAGCATTTGTAGAGAAGGTGAAGATGATACAGACTGATGGCTGAAGATAGAATCTAAGGGACAAGAATGAAAACAGATGGATAAATCGGGTGCTGCCTTTATGCTGTGATCCTAGCTCCTCAGGATGCTGAGATCTGAGGACTGCAGTTTGAAGTCAGCCTGGGTAAGAAAGTCTCTGAGATTCTTATCTCCAATTAACCAGCAAAAAGACATTAATGGAGGTATGACTTAAGTGGTAAAATGCCAGCCCTGAGTGCAAAAAAGCTCAGGGGCAGCACCCAGGCCCTGGTTTCATGTTCCAGTACACATGATAAGGAACAATCAGAAGTTGTATGAGAAGCAGAAAGTATAATGTCACAGAAATCAAGGAAATTTGTAAGAGAGTGGGGCTTGTAAAAGGTGGTGTGTGTGTGTGTGTGTGTGTGTGTGTGTGTGTGTGTGTGCAAACACATACAAGCTCTAGTAATGTCTGTTGTTAGGAGACTATGGTGGAGAGGAACGACCTGAGACCAGATAAGCCAGTTGGGCCCTCATCCACAAGATGGGAATTCAAGTAAAGTTGCAGATGAGTTGAGGTATATCTGCTCTAAGTTGTGGGAACTATCGTGTAAAGCTGATGCCATGTTGCTGGCCAATGCTTGAGTAGTCTGATCTCATCTCCCCATCTTGTCTTTTGTGTTTTGTTTTCCAGCCATTAACGGGTTTCTGTTCTCTAACCTGCCCAGGCTGGACATGTGCAAGGGTGACACGGTGGCCTGGCACCTGCTTGGCCTGGGCACGGAGACTGACGTGCACGGGGTCATGTTCCAAGGCAACACTGTGCAACTTCAGGGCATGAGGAAAGGGGCAGCCATGCTCTTTCCTCACACATTTGTCACAGCCATCATGCAGCCTGACAACCCTGGTAAGTAATGCCTTAGCAGCTCCCTAGGTCTAGAGGGAGTAGGGAGTAGAGGGTGAAAGGTCCAGGGTTGAGAAGAAGCAGCATTTGATGGATGCTGAGGAGGTTCCCAAAACACTTGCCTACTCCATCTTTGTGTTCTGGTTTTGTGGACTCTCCTCAGAGAGAACAGAGCAAGTAGAAGGTAAACGAAGTGCTTTTATGGAAGAAAAGGAGAGAAGCTATCCAGCTTCAGTGCAGTTTTTACAAGGTAGAGCATAGACATGGTCACAGAGACCTTGACATCACACAGCTTTTATAAGGAAGAAGCTCAGTGAGGTGCATCTATAACTCTCTCTCTGTCTCTGTCTCTCTGTGTGTCTCTGTCTCTGTGTCTCTGTCTCTGTCTCTCCCACCACCCCCCCCCCCCGCCTCTCTGTTGCTGGAACAGTTTCAGATCAGAATTCAAAACATAGGAGCTCCAGACCAGGAGCATTCACTGACTTGCTATGTAAGCTTGGTCTAATAATTCCCCTTCTCTGTAGGTAGATTCCTCCCTCCCTCCCTCCCTCCTTTCTTTCCTTCCATCCTCCTCTCCCTTCCATCCATTATTTGTTCTTTATTCCCCTCCACACCCTTTCACAAGTTTGATATTTTACTCCCTTTCTACCTCCACCCTTTATTTTCTGAAGAAATCTGACCAGAATAGTTCTTCAGATTCCCTTTCCGGCATTCCATAATGCAGCAGTATTTTTTTTTCTTGCACTCTCCAAGTGTATTCTTTTTTCAGCCAGTAGGTGGCAATAGTGTTTGTAAGAAAAATCATCAAATCTACGCAATTCCTGCTAAACATTTTAGTCATGTAAAATGCCATTCCTTAATGAAAACAATGCTTCTTAAAAGTTTAAAAGTGTCAATCTGGACCTGAAACACAACCTAAAGGTGATCTTCTCAGACCTTAAGTCCTCATTATTTCTGACCTGGAATATTTTCTTGATCAATTTTAGAAATGTTGACTAAGGGAGCTGAAAGAAACATTTTTTTTCCAGTGAGTTAAGAGTGAGGAATCTCTATGTAAGAGATCATGCTCTCCAACGTTAACCCTAAAGTCCAACCTTAAATTGAATCGCTTTTCTTTAAAGCCAGCCAGGCTCCCAAGCTAGGTATATATGCTTTCACAGTGCCCATACTTTAAATGAATGAAACTAGCCTTGAGCAAAAGAAGCTCAGGAATTGCATCCTGGCTCTGAGTCTAAGCCCCAGGACCAATACAAATACACAGTAAATAATAAACAAACAAACAAATAACATTGTGGTGGGTAGACTGGTGGAAAAGGGGAGGATAGATTTCTTAATAGTGAAGATGGAAGGGTTATTGTTGGTTTTGTTTCTGAATTTTTTAGCTAGCAAAACAAACCATTTCCCTTTTCCTTGCATTTCTAAACCTTTAAAAGTCTTTCTCACCTTAAAGAAGGAGATCCCAGAATGCAGAGAATCAGAACTGATCAGGTCTCTTTTCAATCATTTCAATTCACTTATTTTACTAAAGCATTTAAATTTAAGGCACAGATATCTGGACAAGGGAAAATGAGTTGCTCACAGTAGAGATGTTGCCTCTATATTTTCTGTGTTTCTCTTACTCATTTTTTCATTAAATCCTACTGATATTCCTATATGACCTTTTGAATCTGAAGTCTCCATTCTTTCCCTGGAAATTTGCTCCATGATTAAGATGAGACCACTGTGAATAGTTTTTTGTTTGTTTGTTTTTTTTAAATAGGTGAAGTACCCAATTCAGCAGACAAGCCAGGATCAGAATCTTTGCAACTAGGTAGTGATGAGCAGTGATACACACAGATATGTGTGTGAGCAGCTTGACAGGTGTTTTATAAACATCATTGTTCCCAAGTAAGGTGGTGAATGTCTGTAGTTCTAGTTATTCAGGAGTATGAATTGGGAGGGTAGCTTGAGCTTGTGAGTTTTGAGACCAACCTGAGCATATAGCAAGACCCATCTCAAAAGAAATCCCTAAATATCAGCATGTTATATGTTGGGTGGTTATGATTATGTTTAAAAACACATGTGGAAAAATACCCAGCAAAATGTTAGCAGTTTGTTTTTGGGGTCTATTGGTGATTTTTAAAATCATTTTTATTGGCAGTACTCGAGTTTTGACACAAGGTCTTGCACTTGATATGCAAGTGCTCAATAAGTTGGGCCACATTCCAACCCAACACATATTTTTTGCTCTAAATTTTAATAAGCTTATATTATGCTTAATAGAAAATGACATGCTGTGTTTATAAATATTCTTCTGTGCAGTATGCCTTAGCTCTTTCAATGGAACGACAGATACTAGAGATTTCAGAGACAGGGAAAGTGGCAAATAAAAAGGTTAGAGCTCTAATGTATTCTTTTCTACCAAATCCACATTAGATTTTTCAGCAGCAGAGATAAATTTGATTACTGGTGAAGCCACTTATTACTTCTTTCCTCTCTTTTGGCATTGGGATCTCTCTGTGCTCATTATTTCCATGTTTTCTCTCCTTTCTTGCACATTGTGGCCTGTGGCTAGGATGTGAGAATGAATGAAACAGCTCTTAGACATGGGAAAGGGAGATAGGTATGCCAACATTGTTCATAAGGCTAAAATGAGGTTCTCTGGAAGAGCTATGTAACATACTAGGAACTGAGGCAACCTTTTCCTGACTTTCAGTTTAAGGCCTTGCTAGGAAAGCAGATGTTACTCAAAATGAATTTTTACTTCCCTAGTCACAGAATGTACTTTTAAGAATGATTAAAGAGGTTCTAGATGAAGAGGGAGGGGTGGTGAGGAGAGCACCAGGGCCAGAAGGAACTACATGGGCAGTGGTTGGGAAGCAGCACCTGCCTAGAGTGGGTTGACTCTGCTGATTTCATTCAGGGGTTCTCAGCACAGCAGTGTGCTAAAAAGTGTTTGTAAATGTGAAGACATGTTTCCTTGTCACAGTGTCTGAGTATGGAGGATATGGTACTGGTATTTAGAGAGTAAGAGTCCAAAAGTCAACCTGGACATCGCCAAATGATTATTACTTTGGGAATGGGGATAAATGGAGGCTGAATTTGATCAGTGCATTCTATCTGCATGTGTGGAAATGCCACACTGAGCCACATTAATACATGTTAATCAGATTTTTTCAAGTTTTTTCTTTGTTTTAATTTTGATTATCTTTAAATATTATAAAGCATAATGGAATTCAATTCAGCATGTCAATTTCTGAGTATAGTTCATCTTGATCAATGTCACCCTTTTCATCATTAAGTATGATATATGCAGGAGAGAAATTCAGTGGTGCAACTCTTTTGAACAACTAACTTATGGTCTAAAAACATGAATACCAGGAAGCTGCAACTTGTGCTGTCAAGGAGGATGAGGTTAAGGGAGAAGGTAGATGAATGAAGCAAGAAGGAGGATGGGTAAATGTGGTCATAAAATTCAATGTACATATGTAAAAATAAAACTAGGAAAACTGAGGGGATCACTGGGGTTGGAAGAGATGGGCAGTATCAAAAAATAAAAAAAAATTGTTGGAAATAATTTTGCAGCATGTTTGACATAAGGAAGAACAATTTCACCTCAAATAGTGACAGCATCGCCAAGATGTCGTTTTTTTAAAAATTATTTTATTGTAAAGATACTGTACAGAGCAGTTACAGTTACATGAATAAGGTAATGAGTACATTTATTGTCGAACCTTGATACCTCCTACACTGCCTCTTGAACAGTGTCACTGCTTTCAGCATTGTTTTATTGAGATAAGGGTCTCCCTAACTTTTTACCTGGGCTGGCCTTATATAAATACTGAGTGCTAACCGACTGTATTACTGCAGCCTCTCAGCTGGCCTTAAACCACAGTTTTCCCAATCCAAGATGTCAAGTTTAAAGGAGAAAGGAAGTGGCCAAAGACCCAGTTAGAGGGAGCAGTCCGTGCTAAAGAGCACGGGTTTTATCTTCTAGGTTACAGGAAGCTGTCAAAGGTTTTGTTGCTTTTATTAAGGTGAGAAGAGACAAAATGGGTTTTTATTTCTGTAAGTTTTTTTTATTGTCAAGGTGATGTACAGAGGTGTTACAGTTACATAAGTAAGGTAATCAGTATATTTCTTGTAACCTTATTAGAGAATAGTCCAGATAAAGCCAGGTGCTCATGGTTCATGCCTGTAATCTGAGCTACTCAGGAGTCTGAGATGTGGGGATTGTAGTTGAAAGCCAGCTTGGTCAGGAAAGCGCATGAGACTTTTATTTCCAATTAACTACGAAAAAGCCAGAAGTAGAGCTGTTACTCAAGTGGTAGAACACTTGTCTTGTACTCAAAAGGGACAGCACCCAGGTCTTGAGTTCAAGCCCCAGGGCCAGCATTAAAAAAAAAAGACTATGGGCTGGGAAGGTGGCTCAGTAGTAGAGTGCTTGCCTTTCATGCATGAGGCCCATGGTTTGATTCCTCAGCACCACATAAACAGAAAAAGCTGGAAGTGGTGCTGTGGTTCAAGTGGTAGAGTGCTAGCCTTGAGCTGAAGAGCTGAGGGACAGCACCCAGGCTCAGAGATCAGGCCCCATGACCGACAAAAAAAAAGGAAAAAAGAGTAGTCTGGATAATAGTTTTGACTCGAAAGGACACAGAACCAATAAAGCACAGCAGAGAGATGATGAGAGGCTGCCAATGGATTGTGGCAGTGGAGAAGGAGAGATGGCAGAGCTAAGGAATACTGAACAGAGAAATGACATTGTGGAGAAGCTGAGGAAGAAGCAAGGATGGATGACCTTTCCAGTTTGTATAGTAGATAGATTGTCGTATCATTAGCCAAACAAACAAATGAATGGATTTGGGCTCATCCTAGTTTTAAATTCTCAATGAATTCTAGGTTTTTACATTAATTATTTGTGGGTAGAAATCCCAAGTGTAGAGGAAAAACTTGGGCTCCCAAGGAGTATTTGGATGGCTTTATAATTCAAATCCATAAAGCATAGACTAATAAGAAAGAACATTTAAGGCAGAAGTTGATGTTAAGGATATATAAGGAAGCAGAGAGGCCACAATAATGAGAAAGCAAAGGCTTGGTAAGTGATGCAGGAGGAGACAAGGAAACCAAGAGCAGAGGGTATGTTGAGAAAGAAGTGGTATAACTAAGTTTTCATATGAGAAAAGTCCAGCGATGTTGCTACACAAGGTCATATGACTCTCTCTCATAATGTTTCCACTTGATTATCAGACTTCTTTTTTACCCCAACCCTAATGAATGAGTTTTGGACAGTGTGTACAATCATCCCTTTGCTGACCTGTTCATTTACCAACCATATATTTATTGTATGCTTACTGTGTTGTCAGACTTTGATAGTGAGGTAAATATTTTTGCTGATTTTTGTTCAATACATACATTCATAAATGAACAAGATAATATCAGATAGTGATGCATGTTGTGAAGATAATAAAATGGTGGAGGCACCATATTGGAGAAAGGTGTTCAAAAACTAACTCTGTATGAATGTGACATGTAAATGAGGAGGAAGAGCTATGTGAACATCTCTGAATACACCATTCTAAACAGGTGCAAGTCCTGTAAGGTGGGAACAAGCATGGCTTGATCAAGGGTCAGGAAGAAAGCCAGTAATATGGTTTGAGCATAGAGATCTAGGCAGAGACTGACATAATAGAGGTCAGAGGTTGGTAAGAGTCATATAAAGATTTATAGACCATAGTCAGTAGCTTTGATTTTATCCTAAGGATGAGTGGAACATTTAAAGCAAGATGCCATTGTACTTTGAACTCTATTCATTAAAGATCATCCTACATACTATGTGGATGATGCTTGAGACAGTAGGAGAAGAAGCAGAGAGAATTGGGAAGCTCCTTCAAATTTCCAGGTACGAATTGATGGTGGCTTGCTTGGACTGGAAATGAAAGAATAGGCTTCCTGCTATGTTTACCAGATAAACTAGGATTCCTGGACTCAAGCAACCTTCTTGCCTCAGACTTTTTTCTTTTTGGTTAGTTGTGGGGCTTGAAATCTGGGCCTGGGCACTGTCCCTTAGCTCTTCAGCTTGAGGCAAGCATTCTATCACTTGAGCCACAGTGCCACTCGGTTTTCTGGTGGTTTATTGGAAATAAGTTTCCTGCCTGCACTGGCTTCAAACTGTGATCCCCAGATCTCAGTCTCTTGAGTAGCTAGGATTACAGGCATGAGCCACTGGTGCCTGGCTGTACCTCAGACTTTTAAGAAGCCGGGACTATAGGTGTACACTACTACAACCATCTCTGAAAGGGTAATTGTGAACAAATGTAAGGGGTAATGGAAACAGATCTCTTGAGAAATAGATATACAAAGAAAAGAAAGAACCTTTTTTGAAAGGACAGGAAGACTTAGTGCTTAACTATGTCACTTAGACATAAGTGAATTAGGAATAGAGAGGCCTAGCACATAGAGTAATTTGGGGCTAGAATAGTCAGGGAGGGAATTTGGAAAGAGATGAAATGAATTGGCTCTGAGAAAATGAGTAGACTCTCGTAGATTTGGAGGGTGATATGGGACAAGGGCATTCCAGAAAGGGGGTAATAACATTCCAAAATCAGAATGAGAGTTCGGAGGAACCACCAGAAAAAGATTTAGACTGGACTTACATCTGTAATCCTAGCTACTCAGGAGGTTGAGACCTGAGGTCATAGCTTGAACCTCTTGGCAGGAAAGTCTGTGAGGTTCTTATCTCCAATTAACCACCCCAAAAATGGAAGTAGAGGTGTGACTCAAGTGGTAGAGTGCAAGTCTTGAGTGAAAAAGCTAAAGGAGATCACGATCATCAGTCCCTGAGTTCAAGACCCAAGACCAGCGCCAACAAACAAATAATGAAACCAAAAAAGAAATAAATAGATTTAGTTAGAGTGGTAGTTCTAAAATTTGAATAATGTATGGGAAATGGGGCTGGGTCAATAGTTTATGCTAGCTCACAAAAAGGTTTGAAAGAGAGTTTTGTAGCAATAGGATATTCAACAGTAGGAATAATGGTCCAAGACACTTGGCTTCTTTTGGTCCACACTCTGAGCCTGAATGGCTTCAATGTAGTAATCTGGAGCTTGAGATTAGTCTAGGCAGCTCCATGACACAAAATTCATGACTGGTATTTGAACATTTCACTGTAAAATTCTAGGGTAAACCCTTTCATCAGTAGGTTGCTTTTTTGGTGCCTGTCCTGGGGCTTGAACTCAGGGCATAGGTGCTGTTCTTGACCTTTTCTGCTCAAGGCTAGTGTGGCTAGAATCAAACCTCTTCTGAACTTTTGCTTGTTAAATGAAAATAAAATCTCTCGGATTTACCTGCCCTAACTGGCTTCCTACCATGATCTTCAGATCTTAGCCTCCTGAGTAGCTAGGATGATAGATGTGAGCCACCAGTGCCAGACTCAAGTTGGTTACTTTAGTGGAAGACTACTTTAGCTTTAATTTAGACAGTGAAACTTTTTAGCTAGAACTCTTAAACTCTGAGCTTGTTATTCCATGAATGGATAGAAGATCCTTTTCCTAGACTACCTGTTCTCTGCTGTATGTCTAGGGAGAGCAAATTCTGCAGAGACTTCCTATGTATGTTCTAACTCTGGTTTTGTTTGCTGATCCTTCCTAAGGGACATTTGAGATTTACTGTCAGTCAGGCAACCACAGAGAAGCAGGGATGAAGGCAATATATAATGTCTCTCAGTGTTCTGACCGTCAAGCCAGCCCTCGCCAATACTACCAAGCTTCAAGAATCTACTACATCATGGCAGAAGAGGTGGAGTGGGACTATTGCCCTGACAGGACCTGGGAACTGGAATGGCACAACCAGTCTGAGAAGGACAGGTAAGACCTCAGTAAAGGGGATAGCCCACTTTTCATAGATGATGATACCGAAACTGAGTGGGAAGTGGCAACAACTATCTAAGTTCACCTAATAGGATAACAACAGAAATGAAGACCAGGAACTAGTATGCAGGTCTTCTGAATTCTAGTTCAATGCTTCCTATTTGTTTGATTATTGATTTATTTAGGTAGTACTGGGATTTGAAATGGGGGCTTTTTGCCTGCTAAGCAAGCATTCTATCACTTGAGCTATGTCCTTTAATCCTTTTTGCTTTTAGTTATTTTCATGTATTATCTCATGCTTTTTGCCTGGGCTAACCTTCATCTGTGATCCTCCTACTTTTGCATCCTGCATAACTGAGGTTATAGACATGAACCACAATACCTCATGTGTTTATTGAGATGGAATTCTAACTTTTTGAAAAATCTGTCCTTGAACTGTGAACCTCCTGATGTCCATCTCCTACATACCTGGGATTGCAGGCATGTACCATCATACCCAGCCCTTATTCTGTATTTATTTACTCATAGCTAGAGTAAAAGACCTAACCCACATCCTTGCCCTTCTAGTTAGTTGGAAGTGCTTACCCTGGGACTTAAATTTTATAGAATTTTCTCAAGGAATTAAATGCCTCAAGCTCAGTCATTAGCATACAGACTAACTTGTGTGTCAGAAGAGTCTAAAATAGCTGGGTACCAGTGGCTCATGTCTATAATCCTAGCTACTCAGGAGGCTAAGAGATCTGAGGATTGCATTTGAAGCCAGTCCCTGGCAGGAAAGTGTAGGAGACTCTTATCTCCAATTAACCACCAAGAATCCAGAAGTGGACGTGTGGTTCAAATGATAGCGTGTTAGCCTGGCCCCGAGTTCAAGCCCCAGGACCAGCACACATACAAAACTCTAAAGCAATCTTTAAGTAAGATGGTATTTTATTTATTTACTTAATAGTATATATAAGAATAATCCTGGACTGATAGGGGAACTCTGTCACCATCAACACATCCTTTCATCTCTGAGACCTAGAAGCCCATTATATCTGTAGTCATTCCTAGCATTCAAATCAGGGCAAACAGCATTGCTTTCAAATAGATGACCAGGAACTTATACATGTTTCTTTTTCATGGCCTATTGTCCCAAAGATATCCATAATGCCATCTTCACTTCAGAGAAGCCTGTAGAGATAGGGACATGTAATGTGTGGCTGGACAGCCATGTGCTCAACTAAATCCTATAACTAAGAAAAAAAGTAGAGAAGAGAATCACGGGGACAGATTACTAGTCTCTGCTAGTTTGCTTTACGTGCTTTCACTGTAGTTTGCCAATTCCTTTTTTTTTTTTTTTGGTTGTTTGAGGCTGATGTCTTCTTGCTAAAAAGTTGGATGCTGGTGACTCATGCCTGTAATCCTAGCTACTCAGGAGGCCGAGATCTGAGGATGGTAGTTCAAACTCAACCCAAGCAGGAAAGTCTGAGATTCTTACCTTTAATTACAAAAAAATAAGCTGGAAGTAGAGCTGTGGCTCAAGTAATAGAGTACTAACCTTGAGCAAAAATGCTCAGGGACAGCACTCAGGCCCTGAGTTCAAGCACACACATACACACACACACACTGCTTGATGTGGGAGTTATGAAAAGTGAATTCAATTTCCTTTTCTGAGCCTAGATTTCTCATCTACAAATGTATAGTCAAAAGAACATGACTGGAAAACAGAGGGAAGGAATGACAAGCTTCAACCTAAATCCTGATTATCTTTTAGAATGATATCTTTAGAGATAAATCCTTTTGCCTTTATGCTAGTGATTATACCTCTGAGAGCCATCTACCTTTTAGGCCTATTGGGAATGTCCAGTGATAAAGTGAATAACAAACGCTTGGAAAGCTGGACATCAATGATTAACATCTATAATCCTAGCTACTCAGGAGGCTGAGACCTGAGAATCACAGTTGAAGCCAGCCCAAGCAGACCAATCCTAGAGACTTATCTCCAATTAACCAGCAAAAGGCTGGAAATAGAGGTGTGGCTCAAATGGTATAGCACCAACCTTGATGGAAAAAGCCAAGCAAGAGGATGAGACCCAGAATTCAAGCCCTAGTAGTGACAAAATAGTAATAAAATAAACTCTTTGAACTGGAAATTATCTCATAAGGAGAGATCTGTAAGATCCCATTTCCTATCTGCCTTTCCCCCACCCTGGACCTCTAGCAGCTGAATTTGACCATCTTCTACTTTGTCCTTTAGTCAACATAGTTTTAGGTAAGCCCTCATTAAGACTGTAACTGGGGCCCAGCACTAGTGGCTCACACCTGTAATCTTAACTACTCAGGAGGCTAAGATCTGAGGATTGTGGTTTGAATCCAGCCCGGGTGGAAAGTCTGTGAGACTCTTCTCTCCAGTTAATCACTTGAAAACTGGAAGTAAAGGTATGGCTCAAAGTGGTAGAGCATGAGCTTTGAGCAAAAAAGCTCAAGGATAGTGCCCAAGCCCTGAGTTCAAGTCCCACAACTGACAAAAAAAATGAATGCAACTGGAGCCAAGAAGTTCTTAGCCAAGTGTTCTTGCCATATGATGTATACTACAAAATTTCTCTCTGGGTATTGAAAACCCAGAAGCTTAGATGCTGAAACTATCTTTTTCTTTCATGCCAATATTAGGGCTTCAACTTGGGGCCTCATGTGTTGCTCACTTAGCTTTTATGCTCAAGGCTGGTGCTCTTCCACTTGAGCCACACCTCTTCTTTCAGCTGTTATTTGGAGATAAGAATCTCTTGGAAATAAGAATCTATGTGCTTGAGCAGGCTTTGAACTGTGATTTTCAGATTTCAGCTTCCTGAGTAGCTAGGATTACAGGCATGAACCATCATCTCTAAGTTGACACTTACTGTCTTTAACTGTGGTTATTCTGTTCTGTAATAAATAGTATCTCTACTTTTTTTTTGGGGGGGGGTGGTCCGGTCGTGGGGCCTGAACTCTGGGCCTGGGCGCTGTCCCTCAGCTCTTCAGCTCAAGGCTAATGCTCTACCACTTGAGCCACAGTGCCACTTCCGGCTTTTTTCTTTTTTGCTTATGTGGTGCTGAGGAATCGAGCCCAGGGCCTCAGGCATGCAAGGCAAGCGCTCTATCACTGAGCCACCTTCCCAGCCCCAGTATATCTACTTTTAATTATCTTAATCACCCTCTCTTCATTATTGAGCTGACTCTATTTATATACCTTAATGAATTTTCATAGATTATTTTAATCAATTGTTTTTGTTAAGTAACTCATAAATTCTGACTGATAAAAGGATGCATGGTGTAATTAGTTAGCTCTTTTTGTTGTGTGCCAGCCCTGGGGCTTGAACCCAGGGCTTGGGCAGTGTTGTTGAGTTTCTTTTATACAAGGCTAGTGCTCTATCACTTGAGTGACGGTTCTTTTTATGTGAATTTCTAGTACTTCTATAATGAGTAATTTAAGATTAATGGGGGACAATTGTTATGCAGCCAATGTGTAGGACAGTCTAACATTAGAAGGATTTAGAGCCATATCTTTCATATGTGATATTTGAATGGTTTTAACTTAAATTACTCATATCTAAAAATGATAGCTGAAGTCCAGGTACTGATAACACTTTAATTCTTCCAGTTATGGTCATGTTTTCCTGAGCAATAAGGATGGGCTCTTAGGTTCCAAATACAAGAAAGCTGTCTTCCGGGAGTACACTGATGGTACATTCAAGAACCCTCAGCCAAGATCTGGAGCAGAGGAGCATTTGGGAATCATGGGTAGGGAACCTTCACTTCTGTCTTAGCCTCTAAAAGCCTGAGCTGCTTCTAGAGTTGCTATGTCCTATCAGGATGGACTGCCCCTTCCCCATTCAAACATTTGTTTATGATATACTAGAACAATGGCTCATTGTCCAAAGGAGCCATAAAAATAAGCACTAAAGGAGAAGCTGATTCTGCTGCAACCTGATCCAATGTTTTGTATAACTTTGGAGTATGAGGTCCCTCCTGCCTAGAGGCAGGAAACCTTAGGAACATCCAAAATGGAAAAGTAATAGGGAAACCAGTATTACCCCTATACTGCAGGTTAATTACCATGGTAGTTCTTTTGCTTTTGTATTGCTTTTGTAAGGCCCAATGAGTTTCTTTATGTTCATTCTGATACACAGGGATGCACTGGGCTCTGAAAAGACCTCAGCTCTTCAAAGTTCTATAAAAAAAAAAAACAAACTCATTTCTTACTGGAATGCTTGCACAGAACTTGGAATCTTGACAGCCTTGGTTTATTAGAGGTAGATCACTGGGGTGGGAGAAAGTGGGAGTAATTGAAGGCATAATTGTGTTGTTAGAGTTCCCTCATGATAAAGATGGTAACGTAAATATAAAGACTAATCTAAAAATGGAGCCATGCCTTTCACTCTCAGAAGGATCTTGGGTCAGGGCAGACATAGTTCACAAGTATGCCCTTTACATTCTTAGCATACATTAGATTTACAAGGGGGGATTCCATTGTCACATTTCTATGCATGTTTATACTGTAACCCAATCAGTTTCCTAACTCTATCAATCACTCTGCCTTAGCTCCTCCTTGCTTGCTACTACAAAGTCACCAGGTTTCATTGTTCTGTTTTCATACATGCAATCAATCTACTTCAACCATATTGATTCTCTTTCATCTTCTCTGTTATCCCAACTCTGTTTTTCAAATATCTACTCCTCCAACTAAGCCTGTTTTTTTTTCTCCTTCCCCCAGTCCCTACTGATCAACAATTTCATGGGGTTTTTTATGCTGCTTTCATGCATAGTTGCAGTGGATTTAAAAATTATTCACCCTTTTTCTTTACCTCTTCTTCCTTCATCTTTTCCTTCTAAGTAGTCCTTTAGTTAGATTCATGTTGTGATTACCCATATATATTTATACATATAAATATATGCTTATATATAATTGTGTATGCATGTATATATACACATATGTTCATGCTCATGAATATATATATCTCTTTTAGGTGTAACTTCCACATATAAGGAAAAACATAGGATAGTTTGTTTTTGGATCTTGACATGTCTCATTCAATATGGTGTCCTCCAATTCCATCTATATTTCTACAAGTGACATTTTGTTTTTCTTTATGGTTGTATAATAATCCACAGTGGGTACACACACACACACACACACACACACACACACACACACACACAAAACACACACATCTCTTGTTGATATGACTTTTATGTAGTGCTTCCTAGTCCACTCCCCCCACTAATGAATGGTTTTCTTTTTTTGCATGTATTAGGTCCACTTATCAGAGGAGAAGTTGGTGATATCCTGACTGTGGTATTCAAGAACAATGCCAGTCGTCCCTACTCTGTGCATGCCCATGGAGTTCTAGAATCTAATACTGGCAGGCTGCAGGCTGCTGAGCCTGGTGAGTAAGGACACTTAGTGAAGGGACAAAACACTTTTGCTTCAGTATTCAAGCTTATTTCTTTAAAATTTATTCTCTTGGGCTAGAGTATAAGGTAAAGTACTGGCCCAACAAGAATGTGAACTTGGGTTTGGTCCATAGCATAAAAAAACAAAATCCCTTGGTATAATATGCTGTGGTAGAATGCATTATTGCATGTGTAAGGTATTTGGTTTGATCACTAGGATCACATATGCAGATGAAGGTGTGTGCTCAATCATTAGTTTGAAAACACTACTAAACTTTCAGATTCATGTGTTTGTTAAAAGAGATTTCTAGCCTCTTGCTCCAAAGTCTGATTCAGTGCTTCAGGATTCCAATTTGTTAATTAAGTTGTCATGCTTTGAGTTCAGGAACTACATGTTGAAGACTACTGACATAAAGCCCCGGAAGGAAGCTTTTAGGAGAAGGGAAGTATGAAGGAATAAGCAAAAGGGAATTGTTGATGAAGGCTAATATGTAAGAGGGGTGGAAGTTGGAGTAGGGTAGAACGGATATATTTTCCAAAGATCAATAAGGCAAAATAGAAAAGGTTTGTGAGCAATTGGATACTGAAAGTAAGAAAGATAAGAATTCTTTTTTTTTGGGGGGGGTGGTTCGGTCGTGGGGCCTGACCTGAGCGCTGTCCCTCAGCTCTTCAGCTCAAGGCGAGCCCTCTACCACTTGAGCCACAGCGCCACTTACGGCTTTTTTCTTTTTGCTTATGTGGTGCTGGGGAATCAAGCCCAGGGCCTCATGCATGCAAGGCAAGCGCTCTACCACTGAGCCACCTTCCCAGCCCAAGAATTCTTTTTTTTAAAAAAAATTATTGTAAAGGTGATGCACAAAGGGGCTACAGTTACATAAGTCAGGTAATGAGTACATTTCTTTTTGAACAGTATTATCCCCTCCCTCATTTTCTCTCATTTACCCCCTTGACTACCCTTCCCTCCCAAGTTGTAAAGTTTATTTCCAACATAGTGTTTAGTAAGTACCCCTCTCACATTGGTTCATCCTTTGTATCACTGTTTCTGTAATTCTCCTTCCCTTCCCCAAATCAGATAAACTTATATATGAGACAAAGTATACAGAAATAAAAAACAGTGACAACAGGGAATAAAACAAAGGGAGGAAAAAGAAAAAAAGCAATAACAAAGCAATACACTAAAAAAACCTCTTGATTCCATTTCTTGGAGTTCATTTTGATAATCATCATTTTATGTCATCATACACACATATTTATTGAGCTATTGTGATCCTCTGCTAAGAATACCCTAGACATATTCTAGTTATTACAAATGAGGGAAACCATGAAGCCTGGCTTGCTTTACTTAATACAATTTTTTTAAAGTCTTTCCATTTCCTTATGAATGTGACAATGTGATTCCTTTGATGGAAACATAGAATTCATATATATATATATATACATATATATATATGTATATATATATGTATATATATATACATATATATATCTCACGTTTTCTTGATCCATTCACCTACTTAGGGGCATCTGGGAATGAATTGCACTGATAGCTCACAACTGTAATCTAGTTCTCAGGAGGATGATATCTGAAGATTATGATATAGAGCCAGCTTGGGAAGAAAAATCTGTGAGACTCATCTCCAATTAACCACCAAAAGCCAAAAATGGAGCTGTGGCCAACTATGAGCAAAATAGCTAGGGAGCAACACCCAGACTCTGAGTTCAAGCTCTAGTTCTGACACAAAAATAATAGATAATAGTTCAAATCATTATTATGTATGCTATCAAGCAGTGATTAACATATAGTGACATAAACTTTGAACTAGAAGTGAAACTTAGAGAAAAAATTCTACCATCATTTAAGAGTAGATAATTTACTGTAAATAGATATACAGTAATTCTAATCAATATTGCAATTGGATATTTTTGTTATGAAACACAATGTTCATATATCAAGTTCATTTAGGAAGACAAAAAGTTGCTTAGCATGGACAAGATCCTGAGTTGGAACCCCAGGATCACACAAAGCAAGAAGGAGGAGGAGGAAGAAGAAGAGGAGGAAAAGATTTTTTTTATATCGGTCATAGGGCTTGAACTCTGGGCCTGGGCAATGTCCTTCAGCTCTTCAGCTCAAGGCAAGCGCTCTACCACTTGAACCACAGCACCACTTCTGGTTTTCTGAGTGGTTTATTGGAGTTAAGAGTCTCACAGCCTTTCCTCTCCAGGCTGGCTTTGAACCACAATCCTCACATCTCAGCTTCCTGAGTAGCTAGGATTACAAGTTTGAACCACCAGTTCCCGGCTAAGACTTTCCTTTTTAATTTAATAAAACACTGACTAGCACAATCTAATAGTATGACATTATTAAAAAAGATACAACTAGAACACCAAAAAAGTCAACATAATATAAAAGACCTTGATACCAAAACAAGCTCTGCTTTTGTGATTAACAATGAGAATGTTACTCCTTACATCATTGCTCACCCCATCTTTTACTTTTCTACCTCCTCCTCCTCCTCCCACAGTAGCTCCACAATGGGAGAGATTAGTAATCTTAGTGACAACCCAAGATCTTAGCTGGTCAGTATCTTATTAGTAGGAAGGTTTTTCTTCCCATCTCTTCCCCTTCCCTTCCCATTCATCCAACCCTTTCTCCTTCTGTTCCTTTCTCTTTTGTGTACTGGTATTAGGGCTTGAACTCAGTGCCTCCACTTCTTTTGACACTCTTGCCATTTGAGCCAGTCTATTTCCAGCATTTTGGTAATTAATTGAAGATAAGAGACACTGGAATTTTCTACCTGGGATAGCTTCAAACAAAAATGATCAAATGTCAGCCTCTTGAGTAAGATTACAGTTGTGAGCCACCAACACTTGGCTGGATTGATGTTTCTTTATCTCAGAACTCCTAATTATGCTGCCCAGCTGCTTGCATTGTGATCTGTTGACCTGTGCCTGCAACTGGGTGAGCTGGATGTGTTTATTAACACAGGTTCATGGCACACCTAATTATCTTAGTTTAATGGAATCAGAAAGAAGAAGTCTTGATTAGGCCTCTACATCAAAGTTTTGTTCTATAATTCATCTGTTAGCAAAGTTCTGCAGCAGGGGTTAGTAGACATTAGCTTAGCTATTAAATACTTTGGTTCTCATTTGACTACCATTCTTCATCGTTTCCATAGTGACTCAAATGAGAAGGAGCCATTTAACTAGACTTTCTTACCATCATGGAATGACACCATCATAATAGCATTGAAATTTTGACTCTCATATTTAAGTCTCTCTCTCTCTCTCTCTCTCTCTCTCTCTCTATATATATATATATATATATATATGTATATATATATATATATGCTTAATATTATAAAAAGTTAGCATTTCAAGGGAAAAGGGAAAAGTTGATCAACATGATTTTAGGACAAGTAGTTATCTACTAGGGGAAAATAAAACTTGTTCTCTGACTATTACCACATGCTAAAATAAATTGCATATAGATTAAATGTAAAAGTATCTTAAAGAGAACTAAAAAATGTAAGTAAACATTTACTTGGATTCTGTGTGTGGATAAGTTTTTACAATTTGGGGGAAGGTAGGTGGTCCTAGGTGAAATCATCTTGCTTGCTTATGGCTGACTATCACTTCCGGTGGAGTTTTGTGCCTTTTCTTTGGCTGAACTGGCCTTGAACCTCTGGATCTCAGTTTCTTGAGTAGCTAGGATTTCAGGCATAGCCACTGGTGCCTGGCTTGTTTCCACAACTTTAAAATTCACTTTACTTTAAAAAAATTGTTGTTGCTATTCCAGTTCTAAGGCTTGAACTCAGGGCTGGGTCACTGTCCCTGGGCTTGTTTTGCTCAAGGCTAGTGCTCTACCATTTGAGTCACAGCTCCACTTCTGGCTTTTTAGTGGCTAGTTGGAAATAAGAATCTAATTGGCTGGGTATCAGTGGCTCACGGCTGTAATCCGAGCTATGTAGGAGGCTGAGATGTGAGGATCAAGGTTTGAAGCTAGCCCAGGCAGGAAACTCCATGATACTCTTACCTCCAATTAACTATAAGAAATCAGGAATTAAAGCTGTGGCTCAAGTGGTAGGGCACTAGCCTTGAGAAAAATGCTGAGGGAATGTGCCCAGGCCCTGAGTTTAAGCCCCAGGACTGGCATACACATACAAAAAGAGTATCATGGACTTTCCTGTGCAGCCTGGCTTTGGACTACGACCTTTGGATCTCATCCTCCTGAGAAGCTAGGATTACAGGCATGAGCCACCAGAGCCTGCCTGGCTCCTTTACTTTTCACTTGTATTTTCCTTTACCAGTTCGAGTATGTTAAAACAGATACTGTAAATAGTTTGTTTAGTGGATTATGAGAACATGAATCAGATTATATGGACAGAAGTATAGAAAGAAGTTGTGGAAATGAAAATCAAGAGTATCAACCACTTAGTTTTGAAGACTTGTCTGTGGAGTTGGAGGGGGGTTTCAGAATTTAGGATCCAGGGAAGATTTTTAAGTGTATTCTAGACTTGTCCAGTGCCATAGCCATTAATCACATGTGGGTATTAACATTAAAAGGAACTGGCCAGAGGAGATGGCTTAGTTCTGTAAATCTTAGTTCCTTTTGAGGTAAAGATGGAAGCATTTCAGTTCAAGATCAGCCAGGTTCACAAAAAGTTGTCAAGACCCTATCTCAGGAATAAATGAGGGATGGTAGTTCTTGCTTGTAATCCCACTATGTAGGAAGCATAAGTAGAAGGATTATCTGAGGCTAGCCTCGATATAAAGTACTCTATCTAAAAAAAAAACAAACTGAAAGCAAAAAAGACTAAAGGTATGGCTTAGGTGGTAAAATGCTTGTGTAGAAAGTAAAAGGCCCTAAGTTCAAGTCATTACCAAGAAGTTAAAATCAGTTTAAAAATTCAGTTCCTTGTTATAGTTGCACATGGGTTTGATATTGTCTTGCACAATAAATCTCTCTGATCTGCACCAACTTCAGTATTTTTTC